GAAGGTGGGCCTGGGGCCATTGAAACACCTCCAAACAAGAAGGAGCAAGGGTGCTACTTGGGGCTCCTGGCATCGCTACTAGGAACAAGAAGCTACTAGGAGCAAAGGGCATCGCTACGAACGGAGCGATTGGACGCTAGAAGGAGAACATGAGGACCCGGAGACCATTTCAATGCCCGAGCCCCTATGGTTCTTACTCGGTTTCCTGGATTCCTTGGCAGTCGTTTTGCCTGCGTGGCCCATTCCTAAACCTCACCAGAACCTCACCCTTTTTATATAGTATACAGTAAATATTTCTAGGTTTGTTTCTGCACTCTTACGGTCTAAAGATGTCCAAAGCGTATCCAACATTATCCAACCTTTAAACGCTTCTGATTTGGGGGCTGGGGGTGTTCCTAACTCCACACCCTCTACCTGGCCCTTCTCTTTGGCTCGCAGGCCGAATTCCCCGCCAGGCCGTGCGTGACTGGAGCGACCCCGTGGCGCAAGGGGCATTGCACCTGCTGAACAACGGCGCCGGACTTGGGGCGTGGCAAGGTGCCGCATGCCTGGCTTGGCTCAAATCAAATGTAAGATCATGTAGGATTTTTGCATTGGAGAATGGTCTATGGATGTCTATGGTCTTTGATGGTCGTCCTATAATTCTTTTTTACCGAGGGGTCCTTTGTGTGACGCCTGAAATGAACTGAAATGGGCCTTTGGGTAGTCAAGATTCTTTGCACGCAAGCTGGCTGCTTGAGGATTTTCAACTCAAGCATTACAACACCAGCAGCAGCAACAACCACAACAACAACAGCAGCAATAATAATGACAACAACCACAACAACAACAACACCAGCAACAACCACAATCACAACCACAACCACAGCCACAAAACAACAACGACTACGACAACAGCAACAGAAACGTGCATGAAGGTCAGCCACGAAAGTACAGCCACCCCAACCCTGCAGCTCTGTAGGGTGGCTCACTCTGCTGTCAGATCGGCATCCGGCTCCCTTTCATCTCCCTGTCCTGGACAGCTGAATTCATGCCCACTTGAAGGAACTTTTTTGATCCGTCCTCTTCAGTTTTCCATGTCTATTCCCCATCCGAGCATGGACACCCGTTGGCCAATGTGGCCGGGCCATGCTCCCAAGCTTCCCACCCAGCGGCCCTCCATGAGGTGTCATTGTGGCCATCCATGAGGGCGCGGTCCACGCCATTGTTGCCCAGTCTCAGCAGCAAATCGGTGAGTGGTGCGGGAACTCAGGTGGATGTGAGCGGCTGTGTTTTTGGGTATGTTCTTGTGTCCCTTAGGCAAGATCGCTAGCCGCTAGATTCGGTGGAATGCCTCAAAGTTCAACGACGATTTGGAGTCAACATTTTGGCAGCTACACAGATCTTAAGGAGCCAAGGAGAGGTGTGCACAAAGATGTTCAAGGCGTCGGGAAGAAAATGGAAGAAAAGGGCTTTTGACCATCATCCGGATATGCGTGACTGCCTGGGCATATATGATAGCTCAAAAAGCTAAGGTAAAACTCAGCCAAAACACACAGCTGGAATCTGTTTCCCTCCTGCCACCAGGCGCTGGCTGCAGGTTCCATGTGAGTTTCCAGGTGCTTGTCAGGGGAAGACACCATGCCCCGTGTGCCCAGGAGACTCCCGGATAAGCACGTCCGATGGGCGCACATTTGCGGAGGAGGTGCCGGGCTCAGCCACCTGGACCCACTGGAAAGAAAATTGATCCCTTCCATTGACATAAAGTATGGCATAAAGAGGTCAGAAGATGAACATCAGTTTGCAGGTACTTGTATCTTGCTCAGCTGGCAGGCTTCAACCCACTTCAACCAACACCAGCCCTGAACTTCTGATGCCCTCGTCACTTAGTCGGTTCTGTCGCTGTACCCTACACTCCAGGTGACTCGCTCTTCATTCTGGGGCATACCAGCACCGGGGATGCCAGGCGGGTCCATGTCGAGCTCGACGGATCGGGAGCTCCGAGTTCAGACACGTTCGGCGGGAGAAAAAACGTGCCCGTCAGAAGGGATATGCAGCATGTATATGCCAAATATGGTGCCATGTATATATTTATATACACACTGTACAAGTACTGTATATATATATATATATCTTTTTCCCCCTTCAGGTACCGGTATATACAACTGCTGTATATATCTGTATATATGTGTTTGTGGCATGTGACTGGGGAAGGTATTTGAAAGATCGACTTTCTTGTTTTCATCCTTTGGGGTTGAGGGGTCCTTGCAGTCCATGTTCCCACAGACTCACTGCTGTCGCGCATCGCCGCGTTTTCCAGCGCCGCATTGTGCTCAAAAGTTGGCACTCCGCAGGGTGAGAATCAGCGACTTCCCTACAGATTCTGGTTCTCATGTTGGAGGGCCGAGAAGATGGTAGACACTTTCTTCCACACTCCTTCTGGCCGTCGATCGTCACATGTCCAGCGATTCCAGTCGAGCCGTCGAATGGCCAGGCTTTTTCGCTTCGAACTGCCTTCACGGGTTCAGGCCGGATGGATCCGTGGGATCTCGGTCACCCCGTTCGGTCCCCCCAGTTTCTGTGCCGACACTCGGGTCGGCTGGGAACAACGCAGGAGTCATGAGTCCAAACACCCGTGCGGGGGCTGCAGACCTGCAGATCATTTTGTATAGTTACTGTATATATATATATATGTATGTATACATATGATCATGTATGTACATATAGTAATTAAGTTATATAGCGATATCTATAGAGTAGCACTATATTTGCTCCGGACCCCCTTACTTATTATATCTTAGCAACGTTAGAAATCCCTATATTCTATGGCCGATCTGGCATTTCACATAATGATTAATAATGTGCTTTGGGGGTTAATCTTTCCCGTAAAGGGAAGGCACCATGCAGATATTTTTGGCATCCGCTCAGAAGTTCATGGTTTCTTTGAGACCTTTCAGAGTTGTATTCTACCAAGGTCAAACAACCCAGGCTAGCCATACAGATCATGCAGGGACAAGCCTTTGCTCAGATTGCACTGGGAATGTAGCGGGAGTCGAGCAACACCACCGGTCACCCCCTAAGTTCGGCGCCAGGAGTTCAGCATCGAGGACATGTGCGATCATGACGGATTCAGACTTGGACTAAGACTATGATATGGGATTATAAAGGGAGGATTCCTCAATTCACAGGCTGGAAGACCATGTCCTCAACCGAGTGCACTGAGTACTTGGGAAGTTGACTGTCACAGAACGGATGATGTCCGCCAGCAAGGCACTTCGATGGTGTGGCAATGCTGGTCATTGGTCATGCAGTCTTTTTCCATATATAACTGGCGCGGGGGCAAGCAAGTAAGCAATAAACATCGCCCCTGTTATCCATGTGTGTATAAAGTATAAATTTACTGTAGATTCATTGTTTTGTTTACAGTTGTTGTGGCTGTATTTATTTGTATAAACATGTGCTATCCTATCATTTTTTGGAGTAGTGAGTGGAGGGGGGCACTGCTGACTTTGTCATCCTGGTTGCAAGGACACAGGCCATGCTGAGACGGTCAAGCGAAAGTTGGAAATATGAGACATGTTTGGATGCGTATTGAAATAGGGAGACCTCCAGGTCAACCATTTGGAAGGAGGATAGGAGACCCAAACTCATTGGTTCGGGCTCTCCCTAGTAGATTAAGTTACATGCATGCAACACAAACCCTTGTGGCAGGACAGCACAATGAGACGCATGTTAAGACATGCCACATCATGCATTAAGAAGGACTCGCGACTAGGATTCACATGTCCCACCAACTGCAGCTTACCAAGTAGGCTTGAGATGGCTTGAGCACACGTTTCACTTCAGCCGGGCCGGTCCACACCTCCAACGAGGCGGGGAGGCCCTGAGGTTTATAGATCTGGCCGAAGTTTATTAAGAGGTTGGCAAGCAATGGAGCCGGGTCCATCATGAACAGGTTCAGGTTTGTGTTGGGTTATTCTTTGACCAGATAGATGCAGGGGCATCAGCTCGGGAAAGCGACTTGCTGCCTTCTGCAAGACGTTGCACGAAAGGTGCGGAAAGAAAGGTGCACATGGCTTGAGCTAATGCAAGTGAGTGCAAACCTTGTAAGTTTATGCAAGTTTAGTGTTCTCGTCCTTGGCTTACTGAGCTAACTTGGGACGTTTTTGCATGGACACCATGCCTTAACAAGCCGTTTGTTGGGCTTTCACAAGTTCGCCGCTTTAACCAAGCCAGGGAGCCTTGGGCCAAAGGTAAACACCAACAGCAACACATGCAGGAGCCAGGCGCTCATGTCATTCACACGGTGCATGTGAGCATTGTGTTCGGAGGATTTGACTGTTCATGTTGTTTTCGCGACCTCCTCGAAGTGGCCTGGAAGTCCCACAATCCGAATTCCCGTGCTTTTTTTGCCGGTGGTTGGTTGTTGCGGCTGTTGATGCCATTTCCTCACATTTTGCAGGTGGTTTCCTGCTGTTGCCATTTTTTCTGGGAGACCTTCCACCCTTGGCCCGGGGTATCATGCAAGTTCTTTTGGATCATTCGCATCTATATAGTAGATATATAGACAGATCATAGTTCAGTCCCAAAACCTCAACCACATTTGATGCACTTGAGGACCATCACAAGTAGATCGATGCATACGGAGGGGCAAATGCACGAGAACCAACATGAAAGCCAGACACCCCACCTGAAGCAAGCCAGCCACAATGACATGCATTGACATGTCATCCTTGTCTATGATCTCTATGGAAGCTATATGGTGTTTTCAGGTTTCGGGCTTGCTAGGCCAACGCCGGACGTTGCGAACGTCAATATCAGACAACAGGTCCCCGCAACCAACAGAACCTTGGTGGGAAGAGCTTTTCAACGTCGCCCTGGCTGCCATGGCCACTGGCGCCTTTGCTACCTGCGATGTTTTGGCGGCTTGCCCAGTGGTCCAGGAGATTATCCATGATGTGAACGGCGACTATGCGGATGATGCCACCTGGGTGTTGACCAGCAGCTTCGTGATTCTCACCATGCAAAGTGGATTTGGAATGTTGGAAATGGGATGCTCACACAGAGGTCACGAAGTAAACATCATGCTGAAGAATGTCTTTGATACTTGGTGATTACGTTTTTCTGTCTGTTTTTGGCAGTTATTTGATTTGTTGAGGTGCAACCATTCCTCACCATTCCAAGGACCAGTGCTTCCTTCAATTCCCAAGAAAGACGTTTGCATCTTATACACTGTTCCAAGGACGTTATTTTTGGTGGTTTGGCATACTACATGCTTGGCTTCGGGATTTCGCATGGTTCTCCATCCAACTCCTTCATGGGACTTGGCGACTTCCTGGTGGACAGCAACCAGAATGACCAAACTCTTTCAGGGCTTCCATGATTGCGAAAAGAGGACAGTTTTTTGTTTGTGGTGTTGGTTCCTGAACACATGAAGAGAGGAGTATCCGAACAAAACAGGTGGTTCTGTCAAGGGATCCTGTTCTCGCGCGTGAAAGGAAGTTTCCTTTTTGAACTGCACGTTGCCATGTTCAAAAGCCTTTGCTTTGGGTAATCCATGTTTGTTCAACCATGTTCATGTGCAGTAAAAGAAGCACACCAAGCGCCCCAGCACACTATGCCCTCAGGTTTGAGTGATGTTTAGGGCCATCTAAGGCTTCGCTTCAGCAGTTACATTTTTCAATTTAGTTTCGCTGCCACCTCCACGACGATTGTGAGCGGCTGTTTGGCCATGCGATGTCGTTTCATGGTCTACTGCTTTTACTCGTTCTACTCGGTGGTGATGTATGCCTTTGTGGCACACTGGGTTTGGGCGGAGAATGGCTGGCTCAAAGAATTTGGGGCTCATGACTTTGCGGGCAGTGGCCCGGTCCACATGTTTGGCGCCATCAATGGCTTCATAGGCAGCTCGGGAGGCAGTTTCCGAAAGACATGCGTTGGTACCGGTATTGCCTACCGGTCGGTTGATGACCCTTATTGAAGAACTGATAAGACCAGTTATATATATATATTAGTTGTTGACTGCACGACTGTGTGATTTGCACAGTTATTGTCGACCTGCTCTTATTGTCCTGTCGACCTGTCGGCCTGTCCCAGGTATCGTGTGCCTGGGCCCGCGGCTAGGGCGCTTCGACGGGAGCCGTCCAGGGCAAGAATTCCATGCCTCATCTCCGGCCAGCATTCTGTTTGGGCTTTTTATGCTTTGGTGGGGCTGCTTGGTGAAGAAGATGATGCATGACGATGTGATCTTGGAGAAACGAAATCCTGAAGCACCCAAGATGCCACCCTAGTCAACATTTGGACATCACTAAATATTGACTGCTGTAGGTCGAGCATACCGGGCTGTACTTTTACGTGTGAGAAATCCTGACATGTTCGCTTTTTTTTTTTTTATTTTTATCCCCAGGCTGGTGCAAGATTTCAAACAGGCACTAGTCCCCGTAGTCCTTGTCCGAAAAGCACTCAACTCTTTCAGGGTCCGGGTTAGGCGGATTAGTTGCCAAGAGTGTAAGAACATGCAAAAGCGTGTGGAAGCCAAAAGCCCAATTTGTCCAGGGTGCTGGTCCAATCTATCTATCTATCTATCTATGTATAGTATAGCGACTCAGAAGGTGGAGGTGATAATGGTATAGGTGGTTTCGGAGTAGATGGCACAAACCCCAAGATGTCTTCCAAAAACGGGTCCATATAAACCATTTACTCTCAATCCACGATGGAATGAGTGGATTCATGGAATTTCCTGCAGCCCCAAAAAAAGACACAGTGACAAGACGCTCCCGTCAACATGGGTGGCAGCCGTTGCCCACCCATGTCCTTACCCGCGGAGAAAAAAAAGGAACCCCAGATTGTTGTGAGGTTGGATTGGTTTCAATTGTGGGAGCTCCTTCGGCATTACGGAAAAGAAGTGGCTGGTGGCCACGCGTGCCGCGGTGACCACCATCAACTCGACTGCGGGGGGCGGCATGTCAGCCTTGATCTACACCAAGGTGACTCGACGCCTCGAGCTGATTACCAAATTAGGGATATTAGGGAACCTTGAGCATCCTTGAGCCTGGATAGAAAACATTTTGGGTGGTGTTGAGGCTGCATAGGATGGAGCTTGTTGTTGGCACTTTTGTGCTTTCTCCAGATCCCTAAGGTGAAGTCGAGAGGGAAGCTGATCAGACCGGAGGACCAACCACTGACAGTCAGCCTTCGGTGTGCATGTGTGAACTGCGGGTCATGGCATCCAGAGCCCGTTTCACCCTGGTCCTGGTAGGTTGACCGGTTGACCTCCGCAGGTCGTCTATTCATGGCATGTTCGGCTTTGGTCAAACCGGTCGGTCCCCCCGGTTTGGACCCACTGCCTTGGTCTTAGGGGGCACTGGAGGTGCTGATGAGTCGCTAGTAAAGACACTGATTTCACCTGTGATACCATTGGAGACGTCCAACTGCGTTCCTGCTGTTGCTGTTTCGTGAATAGAACCGCGACAAGGTTGCCTGCCACGCTTTCTTAGGAGGTTCTGGGCATCGTCACACCTAAAAAGTTCTTCGCAGCCTCTCCCATTCCCTGTGTGTATGTGTGTGTGTGTGCGAGTTCCTCTTGCAACAAGCGCAAATGCAACTTGTAGTGATTTTGATATACCCCCACTCTTAAAAATGCAGAAATTGCACTTTCCAATTGCCTTTTAAAAGTGTCTACTTGGCTATCACCAAGTCATCCCAATTGCATTTTAAAAATGTCTACTGCAATTTTAAAAGTGTTTTTTCCAATTGCAGTTGCTATCACTCACCAATCATAGGGCCCCAAACAGTAGGCGGCAAACAGGGGGCAGCAAAACGAGGAATCTCAATTCTACTCTGAGATACATTCAGAGTAGAATAGATAAATCTAGAGAAGCCCAGAGTATATAGATTAGATAGTTTCCCCACTGTTTGCCGCCGCCAGTTTGGGACCCTTTCAATCATGGTGTGGAAAGTCATGGTTTCGTAGAATGAAAGCTATAGACTTATTCATTAGTCAATAGTCATGGTGTCATTATTCATTCTGCCATACTCATACTCATACAGAGTCTAAGCATGTCTAAGACAACATGGTTTTCAAGAGAACTAGAGCGTTTCAGAGCAGATCAGAGAAGTTGAGAGCATTCCAGAAAGCAAAATAGCTCTCTCTAGTGACTCTGGATTGCTCTGAACTGCTCAGAGTGATTGGAGTCATTCTGAGTCTCTCCTGTTCTCTCCTGTGCTCTCCTGTTCTCTCCCGGTCTCTCCTGCCACTCGATCACTTTTTGTCAAAACTCTGGTTTGCTCTCAGAGTAGAACTGAGATTCCTCGTTTTGCTGCCCCCTGTTTGCCGCCTACTGCTTTGGGGCCTATGAACCAAGTCTTGCAGATGCACTCAACGTCACAGCGTAGCTGAATCCAAGTACAAACTGCAGTCATTCGCCATCACTTGTTTCCAGGATTCCTCACCCATTGACTGACATCCTCTCATTTCCATTCATTTCCCCCAAAAGACTGTTGGATAGGATAGGAATGATAGGAACTGGAGTTTTTCGCTTCACATGTTTCGCATCGTACGCGTTTTCCAATCTCTCGAAAGGCCTCCAAAATCTCACATCCGACATCCTAATCTCCAAATCTCAATGGAAATCGGCAAAGCTGACCTGAAAAAATCAAAAACCAAACTCCAAATCCGAGAGGCCACATCCGTTTGATGTCACACCGATCCCAAGTTCAGGACAAAAAGGCTGAAGATGTGTCCATAGAGCCACTTCACGTTCCCAAATCAGGGACCACCTTTGGGCATATAGATCAGGACTCACAAGGCCATAAGGAATCTAGCACCACAGGTTCGGGTTGCTGTTAGGCGGGTTGAGCTGGGCGGGTCAGTCGGGGGCCAGGATGGAGTGTCAATTAGTCACACTGTGAGTTTGCGAAGTTAGAGGTTTCACCTGGTTTTGGGGCGAGCTCATAGTGGCAGGCGGCAGGCTTACGATAATCAGCTTTCGCTAGACCCCGGAGAATGCTCGCCCCCAAAGAACCCATTTTGATTAACGTTGGTGCTTATTTGCGTATTCTCCTCGAGCAAGATGTGTCGTTGTTTGGCGGGGTTTCCGCGCAAGATGCCTGCCCATGTTAGCAATGCCAACCGCCCATCGATTTGAGAGGCCTAGACTCAACGGGGTTAGAGTGGCATCCAACTTGTAGCATTTGGTAACATTGCTCCCCGAGTGTCGCAGGAGATCGCTAATGGCATTCTGGGTGCCTTGGTGTCCATCACTGCAACCTGTGCCTGCCTCTCGGTACAGCCTGGGCGCGATGGGTTGCACCAACAAACTGAAAGAAGGGACATAGAGGGACTAAAGGGAAGGGTTTTGCACACGAGGCCCCAGAGCAATAAACTGTTGTTGGCTTGCAACACTTACAGGCATGCAGGTAAATTTCACAAATATTGATTGGTGAGAGGGCCTCCAATTTTGGGACGCCAAATCCACGAATATGTTGGAACATGTTGGAACCCCAAATGGTTGGTTGATGCTGTTTGTTTTTATTCCGGGGGCCCTCCTCCAAAAATCATGGTCGGTCTCCTCTTCAGGTTTCACCACAGTTTGGAGCCAGTTTTTGGATGTTTTTTGGGCCCCTTAGATTTCCTATTTCATGTTTTTTCCCATTTGGGCAACGTTTCATGGATGTTTGCATGGTCATTTTCGGTGTGACCACCTTTTGCGCGGACAGCTGGAAGTATACAGTAACTATTCAATATTATTCCATTGTTCTCCTATGCCTTTTCCCTTGCAATCTGTTGCAAATCCATTAAAGAGTGTGATATATACTAGGTGTCCTTTTCTGATGTCGTTCCCCTTTTGGCATCCCCAACCTTTGAGCTCCGTAGGCCGACCAGTGCAGCGCCCACGGCCCACCGCCGTAAGGCGTCCATCCCTTCGAAGCTCTGGTCATCGGCTTCGTGGGCTCCATCATCGCCCTCCTGACCAACGACCTGCCCCTTGGGTTGAAGGGTTTTTCGAGGCAGATGGGTGAAGAAGCAACATGACGCAACAGGACAACCAAAAGTACACAGGACGAGTGAAAGTGAAAAGTTGGCCAGGTTGTTCAAGAATGGTCACTACTACGACTACGACAACACCAACTACTACTAGCACCACCAGAACGATGACGACTATGACGCCGGTGACTACTAACACTATACTCTCGACATCTAGAAACTCCTCTCTTGGAAGATCTTCCCCAACCCTCTCACTCACTCTCTCTATAATTATATCAAAAGACTGGTGTCCTCCCATGGCTTCCATCTCAGGGTCGAGTTCCGGCTGCGCATCGACGACCCCGTGGGCGCCATCGGCGTGCACGGCTCCGCCGCGATGTGGGGCATCCTGGCCGTGGGGCTTTTCGCGGACACCGCCCTGCCCGGCATTCAGGCAGAATGGGTTGGACGAAGTCCAGTGCCGTTGGTGGAGCAAGGGCTGGGTGGGAGCGGAACGAAGTCCAGTGCCGGGTGGTTGATGTGTGTGTGTGTGTGTGTGTGTGTGTGGAACATTTGCAAGGTATCAGGAGACATGGCAGGTCTTTGGCGTGAGTTTTGTGTTGAATGTTTTGTGCAAGGACATTGGCATCATGCATGGGAAAGTTCTTTCAGGAGACTTCTTCCAGGATCCACTTTTGACACGGGGACTGTTTGGGCCCCATTGAAGCAGAAGATAGCATGCAAGTACTATATTCGTGTATTAGTGTTTGATAGCGTCTGTATGTATTACATAGACGGTCTAGTTGGGTTCCAGCTCTTTGTTTTGGTCCTCCATTGGACGGTTCTGGAAACTGTTGGCGGGCCACTTCACCAGCCTGGTTGAAGGGCGAACCTTGGTCAGTGAACTTTAGGTCCAGAATTCACCAGATCAATCCTGATGAAAGGCGTTCCTGTCCCCAGAGTGATCCGAAGTTGTATAAATACTTGTTGTTGATTGATTCTTACTGGACCTTATGGCGGTATCTATGGGGTCATCAGTCATCATTTGGTTCAATCTGTGTTTTCAGAGGCTTGGCCTGGTCTTTGCGAGACGCCGGCTTCGCCCTGTCAGGTCGACAATGGCCTTCTTCGGGGCGGCGGGTTGAGATTAATGGGCGCCCAGCTGGTTCTGATGTTGGCTATCTTGGGCTGGTCGCTGGTGGTGGTGAAACTTGGCAAGTGGCGGGCTGAAAGATGTCTCAGAACACTCATGGACAGATCCTTTTTTCTGGTGCTTGAGGGGGTTCCACGGTTCACTGTTCTGTCAAGGGGCCTGCTAGAAATCAACACTGTTTCTGCAAAATCACGAAATCATTTATATATCAGGGGTCTCGCCTACCACTCGCGTGAACCAAGTCATCGCAGAGCACTGGATTTAAGTGTCAAGAGCAAACGCAGGGTGTTGGTCAAAGAGCAAACCATGCTAGCAGAGAAATCCGTCCAAAGACACGAGGCATTGTTCATAGTTGCGCCGACATGTTAGCAGGAACCTAAGTGAAGGCACCAGTCGGTCGAAGAATTCCCCCCCGGAGGGACCATCCAGGATGGCATCCCGAGCATCGGCGTCTTGACCAGTTGAGAGTCTTGTCAAAGGTGGCCTCCTCAATCGCGGCCCCTTGTCGAAGCCACATGAAGCAGTCGAATGCTCAGTGTACGACGCGGGCCGGCGGGTTGTGGGACCGAAGGCCATGCCCAAAAGACCATCAAGGACCTGCCAAAGAGCATCCTCAGCAGCCTTGATTTGTTTCTCTCTCGCACTCCTGTTGAGTGTAAATCGGTGGTTGTAATGTGAGATGGATGGCCCTTTGCTCGGCTCTGGCCAAAGGCCTACTGGCTAATCACAGCCTTTGCTATCGTCCGATGCTACTGGGTGAAAGCTGACCAGGTCCTTCATGTGAATTCTTCCTCCTACGCTGCTGAACTCTTTGCTGTGATGAAGTCAGTGCAACTGCCATCCGGCCTTGTGCCGTCTTCACTGACTCGCACACACTATCTGCGGCAAGGCAAGCTGAGGGATTGTTGCACTCCTGGTCGCAGTACATTTGGTGGAAGCGGAAATCTAGTCTCGCAATGTCTCGCAGGATGGTAAACAAACTCGCCAAGACCCAATGCGCTTTCTATGGATGCCTGCGCGACTGAGTTGTTCACAAAGGAGGTGGCTCATGCCCTTGGCTTTTGCGTGTCCAACATTCCGTGTCTGAGGCAGTGTGATCGCAGTCAATGGCCAGTGGAAAGGTTCTTTGGTGCATTGCGCGAGTGTTCATGGATGTTGAACACAAAGTCACAAAGAGTGCCAAAATTGACACCAGACCAACTCGTGGTCTCATGGGGCCCGAATATGTCCCAAGCTCTAATGCAAGGACTGGGCACTTGACAATCAAAAGGATCAAGAGTTTCCCGAGTGTTGTTGCAGAGCCTGCATTGATCTGCAGTCTTTAAGTGATCAAAGCTGAGCCAACACCCCACTTGTGCTGTGATTCGATGGTGGAACACTAGATTCGACTTCAAGCTTGGACTTGATCCATCTTTTTCCTGAGCAGGGTTAGAAGATCAAAGTCAAGAAGGTCCCTTTCTGCATCTTTCTGCACAGTTCGAAAATGCACCTGAAAGTTTCAACTGACCGCAAAGCCAAAGGCCTTTAAGGCACTGCACACTTGAGTCAACCAGAGAGTGGTTACGAGCATTCTGCACCAAAAATGTTGCACCTAGCAGTGAAAACAGGAGCCAGAGCAGGTTCAGCTCGATAAGGGGCCCCCCAAGAAACCCATGACCAACCCACTTCTGGGGTTCGGACCTTGGCTCCAACGAGTTACTCGTACAGCAGCTTGGGAAGAGGGAGTGCAAAAGTTTTGTGTCAGGAACAACTTTCTCCTGTTGGTGCTTTGTGAAGAACAAGGAATCGCGATCTCTCCTCATTGGAAACAATTGGAAGGCCATCCAATGCTCAAAGAGACATGCCCCTATTGTGCCCAGCCGTCCTATTGTTCGGTCCTTGGGCCGGTAGGCACGGACTCCCATCACATCATGGCAGGAACCGAACAACCGGGAGATCCATATCAGAGCCTGTTTGGGGCGGGGGACCGTCCACAGCATCGACTCACGGACTAGAGACCGGGCTCATCAACTCGCTCAATCTAGGACTTTTGACCCGACCTCTTTGGAGGGCCATGGTGGATTTCCTTTCAAACCTGCATGGATCCACTAGATTCCCACGTTCAACCTGGCTCCACCCCAAGGACACCCTTCTTTCTGCTGGTCGGCATCGCCTTCAGTGGAGACTGGCGTGATTTTCGTCGGGGCTTACGTGTGGATCCTGAGCATGAGATCTCCGGTTTGGACCAAGCCTATCATGGATTCTTGGCATCGATCGCAGGCGTTCAAACTGCGGCCCTCTTCTAGACGAAGCGCACCTCCTAAGTCTAAGACTAGTCAAGATAGCTAGCAAATCTGCATCTATCTGCTCATAATGTATCATATCATGTATATGCATCTGGGGACCATTATGAATCTAAAAATGCAGCCTTTGGGTCCTCACATGTGTAGTGTAGGGTTTATGAAACTCCCTCAAGATCCCTCAAGACATTTAAGATTTGTTCGGCTCATGTGTGGAACAACAAATGTCTACTGTCTGCCCATGTGTCCGATGTCAGCGTGTGCAGGGCTCTGAAAACAGTGCTATCTCAACCTGTTTAAAGCATTGAGAAGTGCGCATGCAGAGCCAATGAACATCCACCCCTTTGGTTTGGGCTCTTCCTTGTTTGATCTTGTTTGGACTCAATGACGGTGCAGAAAAAGGGATTCTGAAGGTTTGAGCTGCCTGACTCAACAGCCAACATAGTCTTCTCATGTCTTCTCCCCTAGGTCCTGAAACCCTCGTGTGGCGCTGGGTGTCACAAACTTCTTGCCACGGTGTGATGTGTTTGCATATGTGCAGATGGAGGTTTGATGAAGCTGTTTGATGGTGCGTTCGGGCTTCAAAGAGAACATGTTGTTTTTGGCCGCTGTCCGATGCGACCGCCCCCGACCAGTTCTCCAATGCGTGGGTCTAGAGGTTCCGGTGCAGGTGAACTGGAGGCTGGTCGTCCACGCTCGTCGCGGAACGGAGTTCGGAGTGACCCGGAACTGTAGCGGTGCCAGGAGCCCCTACTAGCTTCTTGCTCCTAGTAGCGATGCCAGGAGCCCCTAGTAGCTTCT